ACCAACTCAATTAGTCCAATTTTTATCATTTCAAATATATATTTTATAATTATTTGATATCATAATGATCAAATTATAGTGTATTTTATAGGAAATCGTTTGGTATTTGTTAGTAAAAAATTAAACATAAAGATCTATTTGATTATTTTAAACATTAAAACGATCCTAAATATTTTCAGTTCCTTTTGAATTTCTATGGTTTTATTCCCGAATAAGTGATGTGCAAATGGCGAATTGTAGTCGTCTCTTTTCTTTCACTATTTTTTATTTTCAAATAGAAAGTTTAAAAGTAAAGAATAATTAGAATTTGGCATGGGTCGGTCAAACAGGTTGAATTTCAAGTTTTGGCTCGTTTGTTTTATGCATTGCAAATTTATTAGCATGTTGATGGAAATGGCTTGGAAAAAGACATATAAGTTGTACTTTGCAGAAATGTTCTCAAATGTTTGAATGCTTTGTGAATCAGGTTCCGTGACTTTTGTGATGGTGTATGTGCTTGACGATTGCTCGATGTTGTAACTACTTAATTTGAGAGTAAATCTTTTGATTTTCCCTATGAGTTGTGATACCAGTTGTGGTGGTTGCAGCATGTTGTCGTTGTTGGCCTGTAAAAGTTGTTCCGCCGTGATGCTAAATACCTTTCTTTCTTTTTTAACAAATTGTGTAGTAGTGCTATGAAACAGACCACCCATGAACGTTGCGCTTATTATGGTCTGTTCTTACTTCCGGTGGTGAGAAATTGTAAATTGAGAATCATATTCGCCTACCGCACTGTGTCTGGCTGGTGGCTGCTTACTGTGCTCTCTAGAGTTATGAAACAGACTACCCATGAACGTTACCCTTAAGAGTCCATAACTTTGCGAAAAACCAAATTTAGGCAATCAAAGTGGTGGATGTGTGATGATTTTTTATGGCTTAATTGTTTGTGAATTGGATATCTGATCTTTGTATGATTAGAGGGGATGTTGGCTTAATAGAATAATCCATTTTAATTCATGTTTATTTTTAACATGAACTTTAGTAACTCAAAACCTTCGAGACACATATCACCTACTGCATTGTATCATTTTGCCTGAGTGCTTGCTGTGTTGTCAAACTTCTTTGCTGCTGCTGCATTTACACTAACAGGGGAGTTAAGAATCCATGAATGTTTCTGTTTGACACAAATAGGAGGACTTGCTTCTAAATCGTGCACTAAAGATGATTGGAGGAAACATCTCTGTTGCAGTTGATATACTGGAGACCAGAACAAAAACAACGTATAACATCAAAACCAACCATCTGAACTATTAGCATTGTTGCTTTACTCTTTTTTCGTGGTTGAGTCTCCTTCAAAAAATTTAGTTTGATTTTAGAAAATTTTGCTTCTGCGGTCCTATCTTGCCACCAACTCGTTCAGTAGATGGAGATGGCAGAGGCGAAGGCTATTTTTGTGTTGTTGTTGCTAGTTTAGGGATCGGTTTGTGAAGAAGAGGGAGAAGAGAGGGGGAAAGGGAAATGCAGGAGAGGGGGATAACTCTTTTCTCCGGAAAAATGGAATGAAGAAAGGAATTATGATCAGTAAGGATATGGTTATCTTACATAACAGTCTCTATTCTGTTTGAATTGAGCTTGGGAGGCAGTGATAAGGACGAGCTGCAACCAATTCATAGTGAGAAGAGAGCTATGAATTGTGATCATGTCTTATTTCAAGTTAGAAGGTAGTTTCAGTATAAGGATGATTTAACTTGACAAGTTGTTTCGTCCATGATTCTTGGTAGTTTCAGTGCCATTCTAGCCATTGTTTAGTTTGTAATTTTTGAGAATTGATGTGCGAGTAATGACTTTCACTTAACTTCAACTATTATGTGTGTATTTATTGGCATGTGATAGAATTCTCTTTTCCTTTTCTTTGAATTCAGTTTCATACTCTAATTGTATCATTTGTACATAGGCAAATCATGCTCGAGATGACAACTCGCTGATATGGCTGGTGCAAGGAATGAAGCCATCATTAGAATTCAGATTGACAACGGGGAGGGATGCCCAGGACTAATTCAATGATGATTGATGTAGTATAATAAAAACTGCAGTCTGCATCAGCACCGATTTCTAGGCCTAAGTAAAGTTATTCAACCCATAACTCTGCTTAGCGCTAAAAATTGCCCTCACCCAACCTTGATCCTGTTTGACCCACTTCTGAAGAGTCAAGATATATGATTAATCCTCTTCGTTCGTATTTTCTTATTGACTCTTTCTGACCCTTTAGGTTGGGGCGGGGCGGGTCGGATTAGTGGGTCAGTCCTAATCAAGTGGAATCCCAATCCCTTCACTCTCACTTGCTTTCTCTCCCATTCCACAAGTGGATAACATACAGTAATCCGGCCAACGGGCCGGGTAATAAGCTAGTTTAATATATATAAAGCTAAAGTAAGGTTCCTTAACAGCCAACCAAGGTTGTCAACCCGCGGGTTGACCCGGACCCGGTCGAGTTAGTGGGTCAAGGGTTAATGGGTCAACCGTTTTAGCCCGGTTTGGCCGGAAATATAGAAAGAGTCATTATATTGTACTTATCCTCATAAATTATATCAAATCTTATCTAACATATGAGTTATAACATATAATATTACACCAAAATAACATATCGTACGTAGATCCAACATATAGTGAAAATTCACACACTTATATAACATAAATATTCAAATGTTCAACTTAGTATTCCAAAGATTGAGTTAGGTGAAAAGAAAAATTGGAAAATAGGCACATTTCGCAAACTAAAGAAAAAAATGACACAATTTGACCTCCAACCCGGTACCTTATAGCGGTCGGCCCGACGGGTGCGTGCGGCCCGTTTTTCTCACCGGGTCAGGGTCAAATTGAATTGACCCGTAACCCGTGGATCAACCCGCGGGTTGACAACCTTGCAGCCAACTAATTCCTACACCAGCTAACTAATGGGCTTCCGGCTAATCCCTACACAGCAGCTAACAAAATGGGCTTCGTTGTATTTTTGGGCTTTGAGTAACAGCCATAAAGATAAAGCATTTTTACTCTTGACTAATTAATTGACTTTTCAATTGGGTATATACTACTGGCGGTTGGGCTTCAATGTACCGTAGGCCCATTTTAACTTATTTTAGCTTTTTCATTAAAGTCAGATGGAATATGCTTAATTTTTTTTTTATAAGGGTGATATAGATTTTATTTTGTTGATTAACAGTCGATTAAGAAAACTAGGAAAAATAAAATGCATTTAATTGACAATCTTTAGATCTGAATTTTCTGAACCCACTTAAATCTAAAGGTCCAGATTCAGTTACTCATGGATCAGTAATCATTGGTTACTTACTGACCTATCCTAAGCCCCGCAGCTCCCACGTAATGACTCCTTCTAATCATTGCCCATTCGACTCCTCCTTCGTTGCCTCTACGTCCCCGCTTGTGATCCCACATCCGCAGTCTACGCATGGAACAATCTTTTTGCCAATCTCCACTTGCCAAACGTAACTTTTCGTGCATGGAGTAGTTGATTCGTCACTCGATCACTCCCCATCCTGATAGTGATAGTAGTTCGGACAGAGTCAATCACAAGGGTATTTTGCGGGATAGGGCCTGCTTCAAACAAAGAAGAGAGGTAGTTAGTTGAAAAAGAGACAAGAAGGTCCAGTTGCTAGGTTTGTAGCCTTCGGACGGAATCAGGATTTTGAGCCCAATAAGAATCTATCAGTGGGCAGTGGCAGTCATTATGCTTCGCCCAATGAGTAGGGGGTGGATATTCGGTCTATTCGGTTCAAATCGAACCAAAATTATGCATATCAGGTTTCCGAATTCTATCAAACCTCAAATCGAATTATAATTTCGTTCGGTCGGTTCAAACCGAATTGTAATCGGTTTCGTTCGATTTTTCATACAAAACCGAACTTGTGAGTTTAGCTTGTATCTTCTCACTTTTAAATTATTTTTTACGCCTAATGTCAACAATAAATATGCATCATCAATGATAAAATCAAACATTTCAACACATAAGTCATAAGACACTAACATGATTCAAATATTTAAGTCTCATAATAAGTGGAAACATAAAAACTCACCATTTGGAGCTTGCAATTATAATAATTCGGTTTTTCGGTTCATTCGATAATTCAGTTTGGTCAAAAGGACCCTGATTTCCGAAATATGTCATTTTCTTTTCCGACTTCGAAACCAAATAACATTAATTCGGTTTCGGTTCGGTTTTACCAAACCGTATGCCCACCCCTGCCAATGAGTGCGAATGGAGCATCAATTGATTAATGAAATCACAGGTTTACCAATCACAAAATAAAAAATACAACCATGACAGTTCATACATCATTCATCAAGTTCTCAATACCAGGGAGGCAGCTCTCAAGTACTTTCCAGTAACCCGAGTTGGTGAACCCTGCCGAAAGCAAAATTCCGAAATTATCGTGTACGTGGTAACATATTAGGATTCTTTTTGGTTAGCATACATCACACCAACTTAACTCATTTGTGTTGAAAACCCTAATCACCTGTGTTGAACGCCAAACCAGTCCCTCAAAGTTTCTACTTCTTCGCAGGTTAATGTGCGGTTTGATGACGAGCGATGGTTAAAGTGATCACTTCTCCATTCCTGTCCTGTGCAGTCAAAGCAAAGTCATCTGATTTAAGTGTGAATGAAGTATGGATGATGATGCTTTAGATAGTCCTCAGGCTGAATGAAGTGTTGAAGGGCCGACTGAAAGAGCATTTCATTTTAGCGCCTGAAGTACACCACAAGAGGTATTAAGAAGTACCGAGGAGCTTCACCAACACATAAACGTGCTGCGAGTAAATCAATTCAATGTGCCGCCGAGCACTCAGAAACATTATTTTCTTCCAACTAGATACAATGGAACTAATTTCTCTGAATATATACCCTACATTCTATTAATCTTCCTGATAAAGATCTCAGCAACAAAACCATTTTCCAGTCTCATGCCAGCATCACACAGCAAGTTTAAGAGAAGGAGCATTACGAAGTTGCCTTAGTTGCTGTAACAGTTAAAAAGGATCTTAAATCAAACACTGAAGACAACCATCGTTGCTCATGTGCAGAAACAAAATCTCACCCTGCTGTAGGCAACTGGTGCAGATTATTTTAATCATCTACTCAAGTTATTCAATTGGATTTTGCAATTGGGACTTGCCTGGAAAAATTTCCCCTGTGGGGTAGGGGTGGGGGGTGTTTAAGGATGGTGCTTGTCTGTCAGATTTGGATACCGGACACTGTGCTCTGTGAGAACAAGTATCCTCCCAGTCCCCCCTCGACGACACCTCCTTCCTCCAAGAAATGGATGGGCCAGTGCTCCTCGAGATAGAGAGAGTACTCCCTCGGCGCCCCGAGCTTGATCCGTACTTCATGATCGTCATGCGCTTTGCACCCATGAAATTGTAGTTCCATGGACCGTTATAAGGGACCTACACACACCAACGCATTGCACGTTGTCACATTTGTCGCACGCTGCGTACTGAAGTAACAGCAACCCCAAACATTGAACTGAACTCACCAGGTAAAATCTGAGGAAGCGATCACTCGACAGCATCTGCACCATCTCATAGTCCATCTTAGGTAGCCGTAACGTTTGCTTGCAGTGTCCTTGTTTACTCGCCCCCGCTCTTATCCACTCGGTGTAGGACTGTAAGCCGATAGCGAGCAGGACCAGGAGTGAAACTCCATGCCAATATAATGCCCCCCCTGAATCCTCAGATCCTGCACAGAACATCTATACTGTCTCATGCTGATCAAATACTCAACTTCTCAATCAAATACTTCTGCACTTCTAACTTCAAATCCAATTATAAAATGACTCGGGCCACTAAACTTCACCATTACACATTTCGATATCCACCCATTTTCCATCTACAGAACTTTCAAAGTTTGAAGGGCCATTTTAGTCGATTCACGCCAAACCCTACAAATGCAAAAGTAACTATTTCACAATCGATCGCTTACAGGAATTATACTTTCACACTTTCCCTCACTTGTATTATTTGCTCCAAGAACACTGAGAGAAAGCAAAAACATACCTGTGGGGATAACTGAGGGAGCTCAATTGGCTGCATGTGCACCCATCCCAATGGCTCCAGATACCCCAGGAGATGAACTTGTTGATGAGTTCCCAATTGTGGGTGGCATAGATCCGCAATTTGAGTTCTTAGATCCGCAATGCAGATCAACTTCTTCAAAATGTTTTTTGGCATGCTGTAGGTATATCCAGTGTGCTACATGATCGCAGAAGCTCTCCCCATGCTACAAATCAAGAATGATCTCACATACAAACGTAAAACACGAAAAAAGTGACAAACCAGACCTTGATATCCTCCTAGTTCTCGTATATTTGATTAACTAGGAAATAAGATTGGTAGCCAACTGAGGAAGCAGTCTTTGGTTCAAAGACCGATTGGCATTTCAGAGCAATAAGGATACCAAGCAAATGAACCACTAAAGAGCCCACTTGGTTTAATCTATTTGGCAGAACAATGTTAACACTAGCATGCAAGTTAACAAATGGAACATTTGTCGTTGACACTTGCACATATGATCTTACTAATTGCTTACCTTCTGATCAAAGGCATCTTTGGACCCAGCTACCAGACTAATTGCTTCCCTTCTGATCAAAAACCTCATTATCCATTAGAATCTGTAAAGCATGCAAGAGCAACTAGATTAGAAATTTTGACCAAGCCGACTCCAGTGAGCTAGGACCCTGATCTATATACATGTCCCGAGTCCCCAATCAAATAACATCTCCGTGAATATTTTCTGTATCTTAACAACTAGTTATCTTTACAACCCTATTTTTTAGGTTTACCAGCTAAAACAGGAAGGCAACAAGTGCAATGATTATGTATACTGGAAATTCGGTGGAAATTTGAAAAACAAGAGGATATGATACATCATCTCACAAACTTCTTTTATTAGGAATTGAATATATGAAATGTAAAACGCCACCTAACTTACAAAAAGTACAGAGTCGACTTATGTTTCCTTCCTTATCAGTTCTCTGCTTGCATTCCAGATGACAGACTTTGCAATATAAACCAGTTTTAGATAGCAGAAACACAGTTTACCTTCATGAGTACTGTGTAGGTAGTAGCTGCAGGATCAAACCCAACTCGCAACATCAAGCAGAGCACTGATAAAGCAGACTTGAAACACTGAATAACACCGGAACAGTCAATCATTAATCATTATATTGTAAGTTCCAGAATCCGGGTAGACACCACTTGACCTCGTATTTTTGAATATTTCCATCGCCAAATGGATCTCCATGCCGTGCAAAAACTAAAAGGTCGGCAGGCAAGAAGGAATTAGCAGCAGAAACAAAGAGAAACTAACTGGGTTACATTGACACCACCAACTCCATCAAGAGAGAAAAATGATGGCTGAAAGAAATTACGCACTTTCTTAGCTTCGACCAATGAATGTAGGGCCGTATTGTAGACTGGGGTACCCAAATAAATATTGTTACGAGAAAAAAGCTCTTCCGCAGAACGTAAACGTTGAACTAGTTCATCAATCATCCCTTCTGCCCCAAGTGCTTTCAGCTGAGAACAACAACACAAAATATCAACAAAAGATGCTCCAAAAAACTTTCAAGTTCTCAATTTTGCACACAGCACAGAGTTTGTTCTCAAAAGTACATAGGAAATAAGAGAAGATCACTTCTCTGTCACTTCCAAAACCTTCAAGTACATAGGAAATAAGAGAAGATCACTTCTCTGACAATTGACAAGCCGAAATACATAAAACAAGCATCTACTAATAGTGACAAGTTTTCTTTAATTTTTGACTAACCTCCCTTACTAGAAACACAAACCGCGCAAACCGACAACATTGTTAATTATCAGATGTCCACAGAGAAAGAAGTAACCTACAGGTGCCCCTTTCCCTCCCAAAGAGTTCATCGCACTACATGTTTTTGCAGCATCACTAGACCCAGTTGTTAATTTCAGATTCAGTTTGGAATAAAGAGAACTAGATAAGAAAAATCCATACATTTGCACTCTAGTTAATTTCATAGCACAAAACAATGCAATTCTTCATCTCCTAGTAAGGGCAATAACTTCTAGCAGTCAAGCTTAGAGGTATACGGGAGCAGTCAGGTCTAGCAAGGGTATAATATCTGGGTAATAGAAGAAAATACATCAGCCCCAGTAGTTACCAGGTTTCTCATTGAAGTATTACTGTGCTCCACACAATTTTTAGCCATATCCTTCTCTATAGCTTTTATTCTTTTAGAACAGTCCATCTGTGACCACAAGTTCCCGTCTTCATATGGAGCATTCACATTTCCAAACAAGGAAAAGAGCAGTTCATATGTCCGGATACCTGGCTTAAGGTTTAACTTTTTCATCTTAGCCAGCATCCGCAAGGCATGCTCAGGTTGCTTCTGCAACATCAGAATATGTACTGGTAAATAAGAATTATGAACATGTAACTAGACGTTCAACCTTCAAGTTGTGTGAAGAGGAGAAAACAAACCATCAAGTATCATGGCAATGCACATTGACTCACCAATCTATCACAGGCTTGGAGAAATTCATTACAAGGATATGGATATGGAGAAGCAGAAGCAGAAAGTTCATTCAGCAAATCCTCTGCCAGGTCGAGTTCAAAAATTTTGCTGCAGCCAATTGAGAGAGTCGCAAGAGTCGAGTCGTGTGCCTTCAAATTCCTCTGTTGCATTAGCTTTAACTGTGCATACATCAAAGCCATTCTTCAGAAGTCATGAATGCCAAGTCAACCAGTAAAACTAGTGCAAGTTTCATTACAGAAGGATATGCTGTATATTCTTACCACATTCATGCCCTCGGTCAATCCTTCCCCACGAACAAGTACCCTAACCAATCCATCATACGCACGACTTGAAGGTTGTATCCCTATCTTTTGCAACACCAATGTACCAAAAACACTAATGATGCCAATTATTTAAATAAAGTTGATAGAGAATAAACAGGAGAACCCCAATACAGAAAGGGAAGAGGAGGGGGGAAGACATGACAATAGAATCCTAAAAAGGCCGTCTCATTTGATCTTTCATGACACATTTTTCCACTTTTTGCTTACAGTATCCAGACGGCCAGTTCCATCACAAAAAGTTCCAGATATGCCCAAGAGATGCACAGCAAGAAAGTGAACAACACATTGCAAGAAGCCACGCATGCTAGGTGAAGACGATCCCAAGATTTCTTTGAGTACAGTCTTCTAATATGGTACTACATCGAAATAAACTTTTACCAAACTAATTCAAAGAAGATGCAGAAAAAATGGAACATCTAACTGAACCTAAAAGATGGTTCAGCCATTTTGTGTCAAAGAACTTAACGAGCAAAATATACTGGTATCACTTCCCTTCAAAAGTAAAATATACTTACTGGGTTCATTTGAATAGAGTGTGAACACCACCAAGGGCTTAAATATTATGAGTCTGATAATTGTTCAACTTCCACAATTTTCGGTCATGCCTCTGATGTGTCCACCAACCAGAAAGGATTCTGTTTGAGGACTTGGTATTGCTCGAAATCCGGTCGAACTCTCCATCCTTTACCATAAGTTAAAGTGAGCCAGTCCCACGAATCCTGTAGTTTCCAGAACAGCTGGAAGATGTCTTATTCATTAACATCCCCGGTGAACACATAAGAAATCAAAACCACAATAGACACTAACTTTAACGAGGCCTAGTTCAGAAGGTAAAATAATAACAATAACGTAATGAAGCACAGCGAGTGGCATGGAAACCAGAACTTACCTATAAATCTTTAGGCGTCAAAAGCCTATTTTCTGGTGTTTCCTTCTGCCTCTTCAGTTCATACTCGGCCCAAACACACTGAGAATCAATGAACTCACTCTGCCAACACTGCAGGGAAACCAGAATTGGACAAGATTATTTGCTTGAATCTGCAAGAAGTATAAATCAAGTTATCCACAAGATCAAGTAAATTGGAGTTGCCTGGATGTAACGATGAAGATTTGGAATGGATTGGTCCTCCTCGTGACTCATCCCGCCTCCCTGAAATATGTGATCAAACCTATGACCAGTTGCAAGGGAAAGAAAGAAGCATTCAGCAGATGGAACAAAAGAACAACATGAAAGCAAGGCAAGCATAATTTAGAAGTAGAATAACCTATCAGTGCTGTGTTCTACATGCTGTAGCTGATCCTGAAGAAGAGAGAATCTGCCAAACAGGATTCTGAAACTCTAACACCTTCACATATATATGCTCATGATCAACCAGCAAAAAAAGCACATTTAGTTAAGTAAGTTCCAAGCAAGGTCTCTGGTGTTTTTGAAAGCCTCTCGAGTCATTAGCATCTTAGTAGGTATAGGCACTTCAAACTCACACCACTACGAAAAGATGCATCAGCTTTAACAAAGATCATCAGGCATGTTTAGAATGCGATGGAACTTTCAAAACAGCAGAAAAAGCTACACACATGCCGAAAAGCAGGCTGCTAATTGTCTTTGCAATAGAGAGACAGAGCTACTATCCCATTCTATGGTTGTGATGCTTCGATTGTTTACATACCAGAAAACAGTTTGCCTGCAAGAAAGGAGAGTTGTCCCTAAGGGTTAATTAGAATGGAAAACCCTTCTAAGGATTGGGACAAACAAGCATGAAAGAAACATGTAAGAAAATGCCATCAGGCTCCATGTGAGTCATTCATTCTGGGATCCCTAGGCCAGAATTTCTTGTTCTGGTACCAACCCTGTTTCCAATGTTGGGATCAGGGTAGATCATGAGTGAAGCGAAAGATTAATGGGACGTTGCGAGTCAACAATTGGATCCCAGCAAGTCCGGAATTCATTCGACATGACCAGCAATCTCACTGGCCAGAGTCGAAACAAGCAGCAGAAGATATAGGCGTAAAAGCGTGCAACGCCAAAGCAGCAATGAAGCATCAGCAGTCGCAAATTTATTGGAGAAGACGAATGGAAATCGCGAGGAGTAAAAGAGATTTACCGTCGGTCAATCCAAATTCACAAACCTAGTTTCGGCCGCTGCTTCTCAATCCAGATTCCGGCGATTGGAACGAGAGATAAATGGTGCTAGGTTTTCGCGAAGAAGAAGAAGGAAGAGAGGAGAGAGTAATCATCGTCAAAACTCAAACGGGCAGTCTTATTTACGATTATAAAAGTGGGATAGCAACGGCATCGAATCCAACCCGATACCGGAAAATGTTGCTATACATGACTACCCGACCCGACAAAACGCAACCCAAAACGAAAACAGAGCTGCCCCAGCCATAACTCTCGCTCACTAAACCCAGAACGCAACCCAAAACGAAAACAGAGATGCCCCAGCCATGACTCTCACTCACTAAACCCAGTCCCATCCTTAACCCCTCCACGAAAGAACCAAACTCCAGAGATGGGCCAGGGATCCAGGGGCAGGGGCCGGGGCCGGAGCCTGCGGCGGCGGCGGCGGCGGAGCGCGCTCCTCTCCCTCTGGTGCGACAGCCACCTCTCCGATGACGTTCTTGCGCCACTCCTCCTCAGAATGCATTTCGAACCAGTAACGTAGAGAGTAAACCACGAGGGCACAAGGTACAAAAAAGTACCCCAATATCCAGTTCCGAGCTCCAAGAACTCTCGAGGCCGCCAACCCCAGAGTGGTGTTTTGGATATTGGCGTCATATTTGCAACGGAGAAGCCGGAAGAACGCAAAAGCATATAGCGCAGCAAAACCAGTATAAAGAGCTACCGGGACGGACTTCTCGGTGAGGTATTCATTGGTCACCAGTGAGATGACGAGGGAGAGTAGTGCACCAGCCGCCTTCACCATGAACGGAGGATCCCTCACCAGCCAACTCATCTTGCGGTACCTCGTCACTAAAAGGACGAGGCCCAAGTTGACGGCCAGCGTGATCACCGCGCCGCCGCCGGCGCTCATGAAGGACGCCACGATCGTCTCCGCGGTTGGAGTGGCGGCAGAGACGGCCACCGTAGTTGAGCTGGCGCCATTGCTCTTGCGGGTCACCGAAACAACCTCCAGCCTCTGGACGGTGTACCTCACAGCAACCGCCAACGTTGCAGAGATAGTGAGAAGAGCCCCGAAAACGAGATCGTACGACTCTCCGACGTCAGACATGGTGACGCTGTGCTCTCGATATGGAATTTTTCCGTTTGAGGTGTGGAAAGCTATTGCTGAGAGAAAGTATGGATTTATAGGAAAAGGGTGATGATTGGAGAATGATGAGCTGGCTTGCTGGGGATTGGAGCCAGGGCAGGGGAAATTTCCCCCCGCCGGCCACGTTGCAGAGAGTGTAACAAACCAGTGAGACGACGATGAAAAAATGGTATCTTTGGGGGGAAATATTTACCGCGGTTAATAGTAAATCCACCATTTGTCTTATACCCGGTTATTTGCACCACACTTAAATGTATTATATATATTATTTGTATTCTCACCACACTTAATTCATATATTTATAAATTATTATCAAATCTCATTTAACATATGAGTAATACTATATAAATTATATACAGTTTAGCTCCAATAAATAAGAATAGTAACTGCATTGTATCATTAGTACAAAAACGACGCCGTTCAACCTCCAATCCGGGAACTTTGCTACGCGTTGATCCGCGAGTATGTGGAGCCCATTTTTCTCACCGGGTCCGGGTCGGCCCGCGGGTTGATAACCTTGCATTAGGTGCACATAACCTTTTTGAATTTTGGCATTACCGACAACACTGAATCAGGCAGAATTACATTAAACCGCCGGTTCTAACTTTATATTTAGACGGTTAGGATGATTAAGTTCTTTATAAATAGATCCTTGTTTGAATAAGTGACTCTAATCCAAGGTTGTCAAACCACTATCAGACCGACAGGGTTTGAACGCAACCGGGCGAGGAAAAGCGGGTCTCCAGCAAGCCATTTTGCCTACTAGACCGGGGCCACTTTTATGGTTTCCGGCTCGACTACAAAATTATGTCGCTTTGCCCCAATGAGATGATGCTAGGGTTTTCACGGGTTTTATATACTCGAATGAAAATTTATTGAATGAAAATTTATTGAATGATGCTAGGGTTTTGACGGGTTTTCGACTACAAAATTTTGTTTTGGTCATTAAATTTTTGAATTACTACCTCACTTGTACATGTATATTTAACAAATGTATAAAACGGCTCTAGCATGTAGGATCTCAATAATTCTATTGAATCTCAAACCATTTACTCGATCGGCTCAACGATTTTATTCAGTTTCACTACCTTGCTCTAACGGTTTAGTTTTCAGCCCTACTCATTCCCGGTTGCCGTTGTGGCCTCGTAACAGCCCGATTAAATCAGCTAATTGTAAAAAGAAATTTTGATCGGTGGGTTGTACTGTTGTAGTGGTGAATGGCCTGATTGTACGAAGAAGACAAGGGGGCCAGCTGGTCTTTTTCTTCGCGCAGGAAGCTCCAGGGTGAATAAAATCACGGCCGGGAAGAATGAAACAATTTTTTGTCATTTTCAGCTAGGGTTAGTTAAGTTGTCATTTTGGCTCAAAACTATGACCAATTTTGCTCTCCCGCTCTTGTTCTAACCGATTTCCAATATGCTTGGCAAGCACCATGACCACAGTTTTTAATAATGGTCCAAAGCGTACATGTCGAATTAAGACTACTAAGTTCGGATAAATGCTTTATTTAATGCGAATTGAAGCATTACAATATATTAACGATTGCGTTGTAATAACGAGGTAGCCTCCCAAATCCCACACATTCCTACTTTAGAATCACTGCATCAGCATTCAATTTATACCTTCCTGGTGGTGGTCGCTCCCAGTGTTTGTTGCACGCTTATGTTATATCGATCTCGACGGTGGTCCCCGGTAGTGCGGCTGGAAATCTTTCGAATTAAGTTTGTGGTATTGAACAAATGGTGGTTGCACTCTTTCCATAAGAACCAAGTTATCACTAGGAACGATCCGAGTGCTTCTTTGAATAGCCACACTTCTAATTAACGTCATGGAGGTCAAAGATTCACTTTGACCATAATGGTGATTTGGACAAGTTTTCTAATTAGGCCGCTTCCGGAAATTTATATATGTTTAATTAGCAAGTAGCAACATGCATGTTTTTGGACTGAGGACATTAATTCTGTCCCCGCTATAATTAAAAGAAGCCTATTAGCAAGCAGTTGAGCGTGTTAAGGAAATGATTATCTAAAAAATTTCCTACTTGGCATTTCTCAGTGGACCCCGAAGGTATTTGCCAGTTCCTCCTCCCGTTGACACGTGCCCCCCAACCGACTGTCGCAATCTCATTTCTATAACCCTAGTGCTTTATTTGGTCCTTAATGAATAAAATTGGCCTCTTATGCCCTGCTGTCACGTTCGACCTGCAAATTATTTGTAGGCATTGGCTCCCTTTTTCTTTACAATCCACAAATTTTGAAGGATTTCTCCGTCGATTACACCCTCTGCCCTGCTTTTTGACATCATCCACAGCCATAATCACGATTTTTTCATATACGGTCGACCTCGCCTTCTACTGCTTTGTTCTTTATCATAATCGACTACAGAACAACCACAACCCATAACTTCTATAAGCTTGTAATTCTAGAAAATCATTGCATATTTTGATTGTTGTTATTGTATTGATCATAGGCAAGCTATATATACGCTAGGCAGGAGGGCCCCCAACATTTGTGTTGCGCCTTTTTAAACCTTGAAACTAACCGAGATTTCTGGGGGTTAATGTATTAGTCTTAATAGTTATATATAAAAAACCCACATGCATCTCGATAACCTTCGCCAATGACAACTTAGTTGTGGCTAGGTTAATAGTATTTTATACCCCTTACTATTTATTTTTTTTACGACGACCCTCCGATGGCCAATATTGGAGTCCCCTCCGTCCATGTTCTTCCTTTGGCTCGACCCTCCGCCAATGAACAATAGTGTAACGTTTAGTATGAATTGGGTTTCTTCTTACGATCGGAGAAATCCCTGATGTGGACAATCAACTCGATTGGGTGATCAGTCGGGGAGATTTCTTTGATGGCAAATTTAGGGTTTGGCGAGGGTTGGTGATTTGGGGTTTGGGCATAGTTGAAATTGAGGCAGTGTTTGAATTGAAGGGTCTTGAGTGAGTGAAGTAGGGTTCGATTTGAAAGAAGGAGGTTGGCATGAGAGCCACCTATGTTGTTGTGATTCCAAAAGGGGAATTTATGAAGTGGAGAGAAAAAAAGATGAATGGAATAGTAAATAAGAGAGTAAGAGACGGGGACACAATAAGTTTGGAGATTGGATTTTGAGGTTTCTTGAGTTTAAAAAAGTTGATCAGAGGGAGTCGGAGTTACGCCGGAGTACTGGCGTATCGAGTCGAGTAATTGTCGAACGAAGAGTTAGAGGAGGATTGTTCGACTTCGCAAGGAAAGGATAAACTAAAAAGTAATTCATAGCAGTTAAGGAACTACCTTTTTTAGCAAACAATTAGATAATGAGGGTAAATTCGTCATTTACAGTCCTCTTTAACGCTCAAATAACAAAATAACTAACTGAAGGACATGTTTGTTACGTATTCATCGTTAAAGAGCATGTTTGTGTAAAAATATTATAAAAGGATATATTTTTTTAACTTGTAATAATAAAGGGCTATAAAATGTTATTATCTCTCTATTTGTAGAATTATGGAACTAGGATTTAGAGGAAGAAAAGAGGAGAGAGGTAATTGGAGTAGACTTTGTCTATCAATTTTTGCTTAATCCTGCACAATGATTAATAAGATTCACAGCCAGGGGAAATGAAACAATTTTTATCCGTGACCTCTTTTATCCCCTTGCACAGCACTCCACCTTTTTTTTTTCCCCCTTTCTTTGTTTTTTTTTCCCCCTCGAGAAATTCACTGCACTCAAGAGAGTGAGAGAAAGCTGGCGCCTGACAGACATCCTCCCCTCCCTCCGATTCCGTCCAAAAAATATTCCTTCTGAGCATTTCTCTGAGTGGGCCCCTTAATGATTTTGCGAATTCGTCCTCCGTTGACACGTGGCCCCTCAACCAACTGTCACAAATTTCATTTTCCGTACCCCCTTGTGCTTTATTTGTTCCTTAAAAAAAATTGGCCTCTTATGCCCAGCTGGCACCTTCCACGTGTGCACTATCCACAATTTTTGAAGGCCTTCTCTCGGTCCAATCGACGATATATCATTTTGAAGGGCTTACGTACGGTGGTATACGATATTTCCAATCCGGCCGGCCGGTACTAGGGTTTCCTAAACCTTTATGTTTTACGTCGTTGACAGCACAGTAATCACAACCCACGACTTTTTTTAGTTCTGCTTCATTTTCGATCAATCATGCCCTGTGCTCTTAAGTCTTCAGTCTTAAGCATGATCGACTATAGAACAATCATAACCCACAATTTTTATGAGCTTGTGATTCTATAAATTGCCATTTTCTCTTGATACACTTAGGCATCGCCTAAACATGCTAGGTGCTAGACTAAACCCCAACGTCTGCCTAACCACTTCTTAAACCTTGGTACTAACCGAGGTTTCTAGTGGTTAAGGTGTTAGTCTTAATAGTTTATGACAAAATCGCATGCATCTAGATACTTTTAGTTGCCACAATGACAACTTTTAGTTGTGGCTAAATCTTGTGTTATAAACTAAAACGATCATATCGTAGAATTAGGGATGACAACGGGGCCGGTTGGGGGATAATGCTTATCCAATACTCTACCCAAAATAGTTCGGGTTTTACTCGTACCAATACCAACATAAGAATCAGATAGAAAATCAAAACCATGCTCATACTGGTTTGAATTTCGGGTATCCATGGGTCATTTTTAAACACGCAAATTATATGATTTTTTTTACATATTTAGTTTTTTTACTAGGTTATATATTCAGCTTTTTAATATATATTCAGTTGCTCAACGTAATGAGACTTCGGAATGTACTGAATCGCGTACCGGGGCGACTTTGTTTATATTTTATATATGCTTAACCAGCAGCATCTTTTCTTTATCTTCTTTCTTTTATTTATTTATTTATTTATTTAAAATACTAAAAGCCTTTTAATTTGGAGCATCTGCCATGCCACTGACTCCCACGTCAGCCGCTCCGTACCCCCACCCAACTTTCTTTCCCGTCCATCTCCATTCCCCGCACATTCCTTCCTCCATGTATATTGTTTTGTTTCCCTTTTTTCTTATGTTATGGACATGTAACAGATACTAATTTTCTTGTAACATAAGTTACACATAGAAATCAAAGTGAACAAACGTCAAGGAGAAGAAACTAAGACTCATGTATGATAAATATAAAATCTATTAAGAAAAATAATGATATTTTTAAACAAAATATAGATGCATGTGTATAATCGAGCTAGTACGAGTTGAATTGTGAGAAAATCATACTCACCTAGGAATGACAATAAAATCCGGAACCATGGGTACCCTACCCGCTCCAGTTCAGCGAGTTGAGTTGGATTCGGGCAGTTTGTGGATGTTTATCGTGTTTGTTTGTGGATGTTTATACCCATACTCCCATAACCCATCGATTAATCGTGTTTGTTTGTGGATGTTTATCTTTAATATTGAACAGTTTCTATGGATAATTTATGGGTTTGCTTGTATATACTAGATTTGTGTTTTTTGTATGGATAATTTGTATGTGCATATTGGTGTTAGAATTTTATTTTGACAGAATATTGGTGTTATGCTCTTTTTCCCCCATAAGGGTCCATGGGGATTCAAGAACTCGCAGATATCTAATGAGTTCGGATGAAATCTGGTTCTGAATTTTTCACGGATTTTTTGTGTGTGTGGATATACTCACTAGATTGTGTTTGAATTTAACAGAACCCGACCTAACCCAACCCATTCATATTTCCATTATACCCATATCTATGAAAAATCTTATGAGTTAAAATTTTACCAAATCCAATTAGAACAAAATCAGACTAGGAATATGATTATCTTTTTCATCCTAAACAAATCCATGCCAATTTAAATCCACCTTTTTTCCTTTCCTTTTCTTTTTTCTTTCCCCGCGAGAGAAAGCTGACGCCTGACAGTGACAGACAGACATCCTCCCCTCCGAGTCCGTCCATAAAATCTCCTTCTTGGCATTTCTCTGAGTGGACCCCTTAATGATTTTGCGATTTCGTCCTCCGTTGACCCCCCAAATCTCATTTTCTGTACCCCTTGTGCATTATTTGTTCCTTAAAAAATTTTGGCCTCTTATGCCCAGCTGGCACCTTCCACGTATGCATTATCCCACATTTTCATTACAATCCACAAATTTTGAAGGGCTTATATAAAAAAATATAAAAAATTGTCTATATCTCCTTTCTCCTATTTTTTAAAAGGTAATGGTGATTGCACCAATTTTACCAACAAAAGAAATGCAAAATGCAGGTTTGTAAGTTTAGCAGGTGCAAACAGCCGTCAAGACCGATCATCAATAGACGAACTCAAGAGCTCGAATTCAAGGATCCTTGACAAACTCAAACTATCGACATATTTTTCTAACGTTTGGGGACTGTATAAGGATTACAACAAAGAGATCCACTCCAGCTCATCCAGATGCAAGCTCATTAATGGGTCGCCGCAAACCCGAATATACCGCTCTTCGGAAAAGAGGGTGGATGTCTTGGGCTAGAACCTCGGCGTCTAACTTCTCAATGTGCGACCAAACCTACCAAACAAAATCAGAGTTGATTAGGGTTTTGTGTTCCTCACAGTTGGGCAGCCGGCACTAGCAACAGTGTGGTCTTTCTGAAATTGAATTCCTAAGCAGTGATAAAACTGAGGAGAGACCATGGTGGCGCGAGCCAAGGAAAGCAGCACAGTAGCACGCAAAATCATAACTTTTGGATACTATTGAGATGAGCGCCTAAACGGGAAGGGGTTGGTCATTTTTTTTTACCTCGGATGCGTATTGCCTGGAGAAGGACTTGATGTGGCCTAGAGTTGATAAACACCACTGCTCCTTTTCACCAATGTTGCAGACATTGCTGCTCTCGCTCTCACCATTCGACTTGCTGCTAAGAGTACAATAGAAAAATGCCCCCCGGTCAAGCTATTTGAATCACAAAAGCAATCGTCTAAAGGAAATGGAATGCTTGGAAGGGAAAACTGACCTTTTCTTAGTTCCCCCATTCTCATCATCTACTTCCATGGTCGATGGTTGATCAGTATCAACAGCCATCTCGTCGCCTCGAGTTGACTTCAAGTCTCGTAATGTTTGAGCTTTAGATGCATCAGGCAGCCTCTCTTTCAACACATTGGAGAAGTTTTTGTACAAAGCAAGGAACAGTTCCTAAATCGCCAATCATGGTTGGCAGAGAATGTACAGCACCAGCATTATTAGTAAGTCGGATGAAAGTGGGGAGAGATGGTTACTAAATCTTTCAAAAAGATGCTATTACCTCTTTTTCAACTGTGGCTCGAGCAAGCAGAGCCTCCTTAGCATCAAGAGAGTCCCGCACAGATTCTTCCTCTTCTTTGGCTTTGTCAGCATGTGATTTCAACCGCTTCATCTTCACAGGGCTATCACCCATAACGGGCTCTCCATTCATCAAAGTAAGCTTAGACTCAGAGGCATCTAACTCTGCTTTTGCCCTGGCTGCAGCTTCCTCAGCAACTAGAACATTCTTCTTGAGAGACACCACCTCCTTCCTCAAATCTGACATACGGTTATAAGTCTTGCTAATTGCATTCCCCAGAATCTGCAAAAAGTTACGACAATGAGATATATGAAATAAAACACACTTCTTTCACAAACAGCTTTATGGATGTGTTTGTTTTAGCAAAGACTAATGCACTTACATCAAACTAACTTTCCAAAATAACTATTCACCCAAAACTAACTTTCTAAATAAATTCCTATGTGGTGAGACAAACAAAGCCGAATAACAACTCTGAAACATCTAAACCAGCCGCCAATTAGTTCTAATAGAGGCTCAATTTTAAGGACTAAATCAAAATTACCTCCCATGGGCGATCAGAGATATGAAATTGCTCTATATTGGTGGAGAAAAGACCCATTTGATGATGGCCAAATTAGACAGCAGGCGATATCCCATCATTCGATCGATTGCTAAGGCTGTCATCTGGGTGCTGTTCTCCCAGTAGGAACTCACTTCAGCAATCAGCAAGATCTGGTTGTCGAGGTCTGGACAGAGTCGGGTGATGACTTGGCCATACCTCTCCAGAACAGTAATCAAGTGCGTGAAGCTCTTAGAACCAATGTCAAGAAGAGTTTGTACAATCACTGAGAGTGTCGACTCAAAACCATGGGAGGGTAAAACCGTTTCCTCGATCCACGTGATTACTTCTCGCCTCTCGGGCAGTTGCCCTTCCCTTTACCTTGTTACTGAGCTCTGTGGAGATTGCATGATATTCTGTTTTCTCTCTTCCATCTTCGACACTATACTTGAAGTTAGGACTGCCTTTGGGTGGAAGCAACTCTTCTAAAGCAGGTGCATTCTCGATGCTCTGATAAAGAGGTGTTAGTGATAATATAAGTAGCAAGCAATCGCGGCTAAAAATTTCACCCTTTCTCCATCTTTTATTCATGGAAAGGGAATGTTAAGGACAATTTTCACTGCCGATTCAATATGTCCATCCATGAAGAAAGGATGTGAATAAAGAGAATATGGATAAATAGTCTATTACACTGTCAGGGATGCAGAATATGCTTGCTAATTACCTGCTTAATCTTTTCCCAGTATGAGAGACACACTTCTCTCTCCACAACCTCCTGGACAAACACGCGCTGGGGCGCCCATTTAGGAAGGTCAAGAACATAAGCCCATTCTTCCCATCGCCAGATGAACTGGAAGTTTGACCTACAAAACCAATATACACAAAATTTCTAAGCAAACATCACTACAGGAGAACAAATAAATAAAGTCCACTAGTAATTCAGGTTTCATGAATACAAACAACTGGTAGGCATACAAATGGTGGGAAAACCAGAGGATGAGTCGATTGCGGCACTCCATATCTAAATCAGCAATCTTCTCGAAAAGAGCACGGACAGCTCCAGCTACAACGGCAGGAAATGCCCCAGGTAAAGCCTAATTATCACAACTCAAGATCAGGATGCTTTGAAGTACGCCACAATTTTCTTATAAGAGGCTTCAAGCAGTAACTAACAACTCATGCCCACCTTACAGAGGTCCATGATAACCAATGTGTAATACAATGGTCTGAATGGAGGTTGTGGAAGCAAGAGTAACTGCAAAAGAGCACCAATATTAATTTACAGGCCGTGGGACAACCAAAGAACTAAATAAGCATGGTAAAACAAAACTGCACCAATAATAATTTTCAGCGCACTATATAGGAGTGTACTCCACTCTTATGAGCCAAAAAAAAAACCCGTAACATATCCCTACTTAGGACAACAAGGATGCAACATATTGATATCATGATTAACACTCTCATGTGCCTACAAACTAAGCTTACCCATACAACATATCTGTAGCAAAATCTATCAAAGACGTCAGCAGATGAAATGAAAGAGACTTCCCTTGTTGAGTTAAATGATGAGCCATCCTCTGATAAATTACAGAGAAAAACACAAATTTCTATAAACACTTTGTAGAACAGGCACAAAGAAGATACTAACCTGCGCAAAAAAGAGTCTCTGCCATAAGATACTCATATCGGAAGGGCACGGGCAGGCTAACCATTTTTGAAGCACATTCCTTTCGACTAGCTTTGCATTAATCAAGAAAAAAGGAAATAGTTAAACCAAGTACTGAATTATATAAAGAAATCAATCAGTCACAACATGCATAAGCAACACAAAGGTAAGACAGCATGGTTCAGTCTGAATATAATCCAACTCCAATCAATGAAGTTAAAACAAAGAAGAATTAACGTAAAAACATAGAGGATATTGACAAAACAGCCATTGAGGAACAAAAGTACATCCAGTAGATACTCTTCCACAATGAAACGATCTACCGGTTGCATATCCTGTCACCCAATTCCGGAGGAAATGGATCAGTGGACTAATATTTGACACAGACAATTCAAATAGCAAACACTGAAGCTTTGAACTCCCATGTTATTGATGCATATACTAATATACCTAATTGAAAACATCATTCCATGGAATACCCGAAGTATCATTGATGCATTCTGCCCTCCAAATTTTCAGTGTAACCAACTGAATGCTAAACATTGAAGGTAACAATGCCTTGGATAGCTGGGAAAACGACCAAAACCTCATTTTTTACTTTATTCACGATTCTAAACAAAAAATGGTCCATTTCCAATATCCCTTTGAAACCTAGGAAAAAAGGTTCAACTGGATTCCAATGACATGTAACCTTAATAAAAGACGTACTCATTCTATCAAAATGAGACTGAAGTATCAAAATTACATAGAAGCAATCAAAACTGTTATCACAATCTAGGGAAAAAGGTTCAACTGCATTCGAATGACATGTAACCTGTATAAAAGAAGTGCTCGTTCTATCAAAATGAGACTGAAGTATCCAAATTACATAAGGCAATCAAAATAGTTGTCGAAACAGCAGGACAGCCAAATTAGATAGGTTGCGGAAATTTATACAGAGACCCTCCTCACTTCTGCAGGAAGACTATCTTGTGATCAGGTATCTGTACTATCCGTAGTATGTATATCAATATTTAGGAGTCGAGAAATTGCGAATAAGACGTAGGAAACTACTTCCAACACACCATTAAGACCCATAAATAAACAAGCCATCTGTTGTGAACTACCTCACTTTTACCCGTCGGAAATATATATAGCCTCCGTATCCTCTGAGGATACCTTAATTCTGCATTGTGCTTCTCTCTGCCATAGGTTATCCCAGAAAATTGTGACAGCGGTTCAGGTTGCTCCGGTGCATTGATGGGACCAAACTCATGAGCCTTTCCACCAACCAATTGAGCTTCGAATGCCAGGTGAGGTCGGGGAACTGAAAACAAATATTTATGAATGAAGAACATGCTACTAGGTGAATCAATTGAAAATAAAACATGAAGACTCTAGAGAGAGTATAGCGTGTAATTTGAGTAGTTTTCATTCTTATTCTTCGTCAAACAATGCAGAGCTATTAGCTATCTTTGGACAAAGTTATCCCCTCAACCAAACGTGACAGAGGTTTCATAGGAAGAAATTTCTCACAAGATTTCAATCCTACTGCACCAGAACTCAGAAATAATTATTTAAAGTTCCGAAACACATCTATTATCTCAAGAGAGAGAGTGAGAGAGAGACAGAGAGACAGGATGGCCTACAACTGTCAGCTTTCCATCCATTACTGGATAGGAACTTTATTCGATCCCACAAATCCTCCAAGAAGTCCTACAGAAAATAGCATGGGTATTTTGATCAGGAATCATGAATCTAATTGAAAGAATCAAGCATTACTAAGTACTAACAGAAACTTCTAAATCCAAGATCAAGCTCCAAATGTCTTGAGATAATGAACAAGGAGTCCTTGAACTGCGATTACACAAGGTCCCTTTTACAGTTCCACCCACGCAATAAAAATCCTTTTGCAAAAATTTCTGATATATTGTACCTTTTCACCTGCGCTTAAATCATTATCATCCTCAAAAAGGACAAGCCAGTGTCTGCATAATGACTTCTTATGCTCAAATATGCCTCTACGCCAACCATAACTCACTCCATCTCCTCGGGAACTTGCTGCGCATAAATTGCTACAGTTAGCATTTGAAACGGTTTTAAATAATAAGGGTCAACTATGAAGGACAGAAAGAATTCTTATTTTAGTTCTGCTGTAGAAGAAGAGCAAGGGGAAAGGAAACAGCTGGATGAAAGCCACCACACAAGAACGATAAGGCATGTTCTAAATCTTATGCAGCCTTTCAGGAAATGGTCACCGAATCACTATCGGTGAATTTTATGAACAGGACTGAACAATAAGAAGACTAGGTGCATAGTTCCGTAGCCACAGTCTAAGTTCGATATAGACCTAATTTGATGCAGGGAATGCAATACACATATCAGACCCTTTAACAATTTCAGCAACACTTAAAATTCCTGCCAACTAAAACATGACCAAATGAAATCCACATCGAGATAGCAGCAACGATAAACTTAGATCTGTGGTCATTGATAAGTGTAACGGCAATTTGCACGGGGCAGGATTTATTAGACAAAAGTAAAACAGACTACTTATTTTGTCGAAAGCCAAGATGGTTCTAGAAAATTAAAATTTCCCCACACAACAAAACTAATTTGTGTTTGGAAAAATAATAAAGAGACTGATAACTAACAATTAAGCAAAGTTCACCAAGTGATCTACCAAGCACCCAATTGGGCATTTACCTCAGCAAGTTCTGATCCACCCCATGGATGGCAAGATAATATACAAGTTACAAAGAAGTCACCACGAGCTTACCATGAAGGATTTCCCTTCTCCTCATCAACTGTGATGGCAGCAGAAGACAGCAATGTTTCAAAAACAACCACAAGGGAAGCAGCCTGGAGAACTTTACTACACATCTGTAAAGGAGAAAAGAGAATCATGTCACCAAGTTTTCTGTGTTGCTTAGAAATGATACATAGCATCCATGAAGTACCATCAGATTAGGCAAAATAGAAGTATCAGTTTCCTTGCTCAAAAGATAGATTACAAAATGTAATTTAGTTTGGAAAGTTGCAGATAACACCATTATCCTGTCTCAATAAAGAAAGCAACCTGATCAGGTTTTCAACTTTGAACACACTCACGCACACAGACACACAAAGACGCGCATCCTAGTTCCTTCATGTAAAAAGAACTCTATAGAGCAAAACCTTCAAAAATTGGAGATCAATGTTAACAGTTAATCATTTTTATGCACATACCAGAGCAGTTAGAAATCGCACCAGAACACGAATCCTATCACAATTGCCAGAATCCAATGCCTCCTGAAATGTTCAACAATGAGGAATAAGGAAAGTACTATGTAAAACGGTAACATTTTCCAATCACTAAAATCAGAATCAAGAACTATATTTGCAAAATCAATATAGTTCCAAATATAGCACCAACAAAGCAAAGAGATGTTTTTTTTCTTCAGTTAGAAGTGGAAAATAAACCTACAGGACTATTCTCTCTCTAACTATTGTTAATGGAAGAACAAATATATGTCTCCATCATTCTTAGAACTCGCCTAAACAGCAATGTTCCATCAACATGACTGGAACATGGTCGTCTAGCAAAATGTAAAGGGTCCATGATAGCGGCTCTAGAAGTACTTCATAAAGAAAGAGAACGAAAAGCACAAAGTGACTCCAGAAGTAATCATGACAATGACAAACAGAGGAAAGGAGAAATACTCCACCTGGAAACGAGTCTGAGTAGTCTCGATGACTCCCCTTACGAAGTTCTCATTTTCCAGGTTCAGCAAGCCAATCTGATATAGAAAAGCAAAAGTAAAAGATCAACATATCACAATTACTCAATCCTTACAAATCTCACCTCGAAACTGTATACACATAGTCCTATCCCTACTATTTGGCTTCTCAAGTTCACCAAACACAACCCAATATGATTCTGCTTCTTTGAATACAAGAGGAATATAAAGTGGCATGAAAGATTGAAGAATTGGATTAGTACTCAGAAGTTAAAAAAAGACTCTTGAGATGCAGAAATTTCAATCAGGCATATAGTTGGGACCTGCTGTTCTTCAGATTTGAGGTAGCCAAGGTACAATCAGAAAGCAGAAAGTACATACGTGATAGGCATTAACTAATCAATATATTCGAGAAGCAAAGAGCAAGGAGGCCTTTAGAAGCACTAACCACAGTCCCAAGCAGCGGAATCTTGTGAGGCAATCCCTCGGCACATTGAATAAGGAACTGTGAACACCCAAGAAAAAACGTAAGCTGTACATCTCCACCAGAATCGCCCTAGGATATGAGCAGAAATACCAAACCGTACACAATCTCAATTCACTAGAACAACATCAACAAAATTCACCGTACACTTGAAATGTCGCCGGCGGAGTGCTCCAACTCTCGCCGGACAACTCCACAACACGTTTCCTGCACATGTCCAGCACCAAAACCGCGTGTTTACAATCCAATGCTAAAATACCGAAAGGAATGACAGGTTAAGCGAGATATAAGTGGTCAGAGTTAGATAGGGTTTAGCGTGAAGCAGAGGGAGGAGGAGGAGAAAGAAGAGAGAAATAGAGGAAATCGAAGCTACGAACAATGTGTTCTTTGACGTCGGCGCTGCCGCCGTACTCCGGACACTTGTTGCCGATTCGTAGAAGGAGGGTTCTCCAACTACTCATCGTTTCTTTCCAATTCCTCTCGTCGAGAACGAAGTGAGCGCGAAGTAGGGACGGAGCGAGTACTTTTTTTCGTTTGCTTGATGGATTTGGGTGATGAATTTGGGACTCAAATTCTAAGCATGATGGATTTTAGTTAGGGATGACAATAGGTCGGGTTGGGGTGGGTTTTGTCAAACTCAAACCCAAATCCATGGGTTTATCCGCCAAAAAAACCCAGGGTAAAATTCGTTGGGTTTGAAAAACTTTAACCAAACCCAACTCACTGGGTATCCGCGAATTCATGGGTACCTGTGGGGTTTTGTGGTAAAAAATATACAATAACAAGTTTCTTTCAAAATAAAAGTTTAACATCAATTTTCTCATATAAATTCATCATACAAAAAACACCAATCTAGAGCATACAAGCAAACCGCAAATGATCAATACAAATTGTTCAAAATTAAAGATAAACATCTGTAAACAATAAGATTAATTGAAAGTTTCTTCCTCGTCAACTAAGTTTCTTCACTCTCCACTTCATAATATCAACTTCATTCTAAACAATTAGAAAGAACAAATTATCCATGTCTCCACAAACATAAAGAATATTAGTTGTTTAAGGAAAATATATTATTTAGAATATTGCATATACCGGGAAAGTAATTATATGTGTGGGCGGGTACCCATGAGGCGGATTTACCTAAACCCAAAGCCAACCCGACCCGGTGAATAGTGTAGCGGGTTTAAACCCGAACTCGGCCCAAAACCCGTCAACACGGATTTAACCCGCGTTGACCAGGTTGGGTCGGGTGGGTACCCGTGAGTTCGGGTTTTGTTGCCATCCCTAATTTTAGCCAAGTCCATTGTTTGTTGTTAGGTGTTAAATCCGTGAGGTCCATGGATTTGTTTCTTTTTTTGGATCCAAATCCGTGGACCCCACGGACTTGTAGAAACCCACATATTGGGGTGGGATTTGTAAGTCCTTGATGGCTAGTTATATTTATAGCAAATCCATCATAATTATATCATCAAATCTATCATGCAAACAATAGACTCTTAAATCCATGATGCTACAAATCCCTCATAAATCCAAAGGTTTTTTTTTAGCCAAAACCCTCATTTTTCAAATCCAACAAGCAAACGACCCCTTAATTAGGGGGGAAATTTCTTTTCTTACATTATCATTTATAGTGAAAAAGTAAAACTGCATCCCCAATTCAAATATCTCTGTTCTTAGAGTGTCGAGTGATTTGCTGGTGTTGAGCGGGCTGTAGCCTGTAGGGTGGGCATTCGGTCAGTTCGGTTTCGACCGAACCGAAATCATGTATGACGGGTCCCCGAAATTGTCTATACAGCAAACCGAATTTGAACCGCCGAACCAAATTATATTTCGGTTCGGTCCGGTTTCAAGGCTCAAACCCGAAACAATAAAATGTAAAACCCTATCTCTATTTTTTATCCCTAGATTAATCCCTCACCCTCTTATCTCTCTTTACTCTCTAAGCCTCTCCTCCGTCTCCAGACTCCTCACCCCCTTCTCTCTCTCTCTCTCTACTCTCTCCTCCGTCTCCAAAATCCAAACTCGCAACGGCAGCTGACGAGTTAGCATCAGTCAACAATAGCAGTTTCATTGCTTGCATGTGATCGTCAGCGGCGCGATCGAAAAGGAGGAAAGCTCACCCACCGCCGAGGATCCTCCCAGTGTTGTGAAGACTAAAGAAAGACGAGACGTGCATCCCGCCGCCGCCGTCGCATCCCGCCGCATATCTGGATAGGGTGTCGTCGTCGCATGCTACCGCAGATCTGGATAGGGTGCCTCCGCCGTCGCATACCGCTGTAGATCTGGGATCTGGATCCCTCTTGGTAAAACAATTTTGTTTTTGTTTGTATTTTTGTTTAATCCGTGATTTTTTGTATTTTTTGCTAATCTGTGATTTTATTTTTGGTTGGTTTTCTGAGTTTCAATGGCCGGCGATGAGAACGGAAAGAGGAAAAGGCGTTGGACTCCGGTGCCCGGCCAAAGGCCGCCGTTGGTGGCGCTAATCAACAGTAGGGGATGGCGACATCAACGAGGCAGGAAGATGGAAAGACGAAGAGGATTTTGGACTTGGCTAGGGTTTTAGTGTTAGAGAAAGTGGGCTTGGGCTGTGCGCTTGTAATTGTTGGTTGTGGGCTTGTAATTGTGGGCTGTATGTGTGAGAGAGTGAGGAATTTCGCTTTGTTCGGTCGGAATAACATTAATTCGATTTCGGTTCGGTCAAGTTTGGTTTCGGTCGGGTCGGGTTTACCGAACCGGATGCCCACCCCTGGCTTTACTTACAAGGATCTATGTCCTCAATTCCCCGTTTTGTGGTGGCACTCTTAGGCAACACTTGCAAGGTCCGCTTCTTCTTCCCTTTGATTTCAGTTTTTTTTTGTACGATCGATTTGAAGGAATCTGGATTTAATCTATGGTGGGGTTTTGGCAGGGGATCTATTTCTTTTTGTTTGGCGCTTATCGCATAGACTATCAGAAGTCATCAACTGTTCAATTGAATGGGTTTTTTCTATCTCTTCCTTCCTCAAGGTTGTGTTTGTTTACCTTTTAGGCCGACATTACACCGACGGCAACGCCACTATGAGAAAATATCGCAGCACCGTCCAGATCGAAGTTGCCCCAGGTCCTCTCTGCTGATTGCAATTGGTAAGTCTGGATTGAATTGCATCGCTCGCCTCCCAATTCCCCAGTAAACAACGACTTCGGCTACGTTGTACTATACCAACTTTTCCTTCAATAATTTGCCTTGCCCACACGTTTTCACCCCTGATTCTGCTTAGTGGATGCAATTCCTTCAATGAAGAAAGACTACAAACATGGTTGACGTCTGTAGCTTCTTCTTCAAAAAATTGATGCTCCTCACTCACAACATCTCCCCAATGCTCCTCACTCTACTGGTAGGTTCTGGACATGATGCGACTGGCGTCTTCTCGACGGAGTAGTCTTCATTGTAGCTGCAATGATTCTCTTCCCACTTCTAAGTCGGGAAATCGCGCGTTAGCGATACTGCCGATCGAGGGGATGCTTCTCCCATTCACATTCACATTCTTTCCCGGGTACTTCAATCCCAACCTTTTCCCCCTTCGGTAGTTTCTGGGTTGCGCCCAAAGTCTCTCTTTTCGATGCTGTCTCCGCCTAAATTTTGATCCGCTGCTTCTTTTTTCCCTTTCCCCCTTTCTTTGCAGGCCGGTTACGATGTTGCTTCGCCCATTGTAAGTTCTCAGTACCCTACATCTCATTTATCGATTGAACATAACCATGTTCACGACCTTCCTAATTGGATGAATCCTCTAATTTAAAATCAATTCCCACGTCAATGCAGGGGCTCTTCCGTTGTTTCTGTATTGGAGGATTTCTTGGATGTTGCTAGGGTTCCTCATGTTTGATTGCAACAATGCTCTCTTTCATTCGGTGTATGCTTCAATGCCCCCAATTTCAGGCGCAGCTCGAGTTAGGTTAACAAATGGGCTGGTGTCTTTCTGTGTGCCTTTTACCTTTTCGTTCATGTGGACCATGATCAACACCAGTAAATGCTAGAAGGGAACTCTTAATTGTTTGATCACTGGGAATGGAATAGATTGCAGCCAATATGAAAGTCTTCTTATAGGTTTTGTTGATTTCACCTAATGATGGAATACTTTTGTTTCCTAAAAGAATCCTTAGGCCCTTCTCATCTGTGAGCTAAGGTGCCTGCACTTCACAATCTACTCTACGGTGCACCAATCATGGAAATAATCATACCACCGCCACTGATGGATGCTGGTTCTGTAACGCGAGGCATTAGGTTACCGGTTGACGGCTGCTCCTACTCCTTCCTCCACTCCCGTTTAGGATTGCTTTGTGCATTCTGATCCTCCTAGTGAGCCCAAGGTACTTTTCTTTACTTAACATTGGTTAATTGTGTTGGTGATCTTCAATTTAGATTGAATTTCTGGCTTTTAGGAGTAAATAAATAGGATTGGGTGAACAACACATGGAGAAGGTGCGGAAGGAAATGCCTTATTGTTCATGATTCCAGAAGAGTTTCAATTTATGCAATATTTGAAGGTATGACAGATTTGGCATATACTTTTACAGCATGTACTTCGCTCTTGTTGTACGCTTTAATGACTGTTTCCTTATTGTTCATGGTTCCTACCCCACCTTCTTCATCTATACAAGTATTGTAAATAACTAAATAAATGGTGTTTATTATCTATACTAAACAGAATTATGAACTGGGTCAACTTCCTTTTACATTTGTTGTCTATAAAACTCTATAGCGAATTAATGATTGCAGGAACTTATTAGGCGGGAGGGAAGCAGAAACGCAGTGGAGTGTCATTTATGTTCGTCTTGTTAGTAGGGTTACTGGGATATTGTTGAGATACCTCTTGAAGAAGATGTTAAGTTGCGGTGGCAGCAACAACTCATCCATCCTCCCTGAACATAAAATCATGTTTTGAACATCATCATCCCCTTATATCGCATTCAAATAATTATGAATGGATAACCGAAACAAGGGAAAGGCTCTAATGAACAGGGTTCATTTGTTAACTGAATCTGTTATTAGCCAAAAGAATCGTGTGTTTTTAGGTTAGACTATTTGGTGGCTTCCTTTTTTCAGATTAATGTGTACTAGTAAATAGCCCACGCTCTGCGGTGGGGTACGTTCCAATTTGTGAACCATTGTGAGGCATTTGCGATTATCTACGTGTAAACCTCGGATTTTATTTCATTTATACTTAGAATACTACACTACCCAGATACAACATACTTTCTCCAGGAACAAAAGAGGTGCGACTCCATTCCTATCTTACTCTGCAGACTTGCTAGCAAATCTCCATATAACATCCAAGGAGCCTTTACTAACCATCATCACATTCAGTTACGAAAGGATCATGCCAACCACTAATCACGGATTTACATTACATCACCTCTACTACTTTTCCCGGACTTTGTTTAATTTCCTGAACTTTTAGGACTTCATCTTGACTTCCAACTCTGGTAAAGCTCCTCTATATAATTATAATATGACACTCTTTGGTTCATTT